AAGAGAAAATCGGGGGGGGGGGTGTGGGGTGGGGGGGGGGGGACAGAGGCAAGGTCGGGTTACGGTGAGATCGGAGAGGAGATATGATGGCTATAAGTGGGAGTACGTCTGCAAAAATAACATGTGGTACATAAGCAAAGTTGATCTATGTGCAGATCACATGTCTGCTGGTGGGCTAAGAAAAATAATTGCTGGAATTGAGGACACATGTATGATTCTGGTCCACAAAAGAAAATAAAAACATCGAGTCAACAGGAGATAACAGTATATACAACGTCATAGCCAAAGAGTTGGCCGAACAGTTTGTGGATAGCAAAACACAAAAGCACAATAAAACAGCATACTGTACCTCATCTGGTGGAGTTCACAATCAATATTGGTCTAATAACATGACAAAAACATCAAAGACATCATTCTCACCAGACATGCCGATTATTAAATGCATTGATCGCTCCAGATGTGTTTTGCAAGTCCGAGTTCGGAGTAAGAATCATTGGTTTGAGCAACCAATCAGAAGCGAAAGATGTTAGCTGGCTCTGTGAGGCGAATGTGAACTCTGACGGGTTAAAGAAATTGTCACATTACTAATAGTTTATTTTTATCATGCAGCACTACGAATTCTGAAGGCCGCGGGAAAATTTGATTCACATGGCAACACATGGAGGCTGATATATGAAAAAAAAAAAAAGAAAAAAAAAAACACCATCCACCTACGCATATCGGAAGTAAAGCAGCCAAGAGAAACATGACAAAATGAAGAGCATAAACTGTACTAGGACGACTAGTGACGTGCTAGATGTTAACTAGTATATATTTTTTAAATGTTACTAGTTAGGGACTAGTCGACTTGAGTAGTCGACAATGATATTAAGCTTGGGACAGAATTCCCTGTTTGGCTATGCTGTGTCAAAGTTACATACCGGTAACTGTCTTCAGCATTCCCTCCTCCTGTATTTTATTATTTTTTTTAAATTAAGCCGCTGCATTTAAAAATTCCAGTAACATAACGGTTGACTAGTTGACGTCAACTTGACTTTAAGAGCATAAACTGTACTAGGACGACTAGTGACGTGCTAGATGTTAACTAGTATATATTTTTTAAATGTTACTAGTTAGGGACTAGTCGACTTGAGTAGTCGACAATGATATTAAACTAGGGACAGAATTCCCTGTTTGGCTATGCTGTGTCAAAGTTATATAACGGTAACTGTCTTCAGCATTCCCTCCTCCTGTATTTTTTTTTTTAAATTAAGCCGCTGCATTTAAAAATTTCAGTAACATAACGGTTGACTAGTTGACGTCAACTTGACTTTAGTCACATTTGAGTCGACTTAAAAAATATGAAGCTAAGGAACCTCAAGTCACTGGTAGTACAAGTAGCATGCCGTTGACAACTACTGCACAACTTGGCATCACTAGTAACTTGTAGTTGTCCAACTACAGTAGTATGCCAAAGTTGTCCTACTCGTGAGAACAAAGCACGCACTAGTACATGGACATCAATATGGATTAGATGTTCCCGAATGGCTTGTACTGCACAACTTGGCATCACTAGTAACTTGTAGTTATCCAACTACAGTCAAAGCTGTCCTACTAGTAAGGACAAAGCGTGCACTAGTACATGGACGTCAATCTGGATTAGATGTTCCCGAACGGCTTTCCATCCTCAACAGGTCATTTCTTGGCTCACCGCTCTGGGTCGAAAAAGTCCATGGCTTTCTTGGACTTGTTGTAGGCAGCCACCCTAAAGGGGATGATCTCAACCGAGGTGAGGCCCGGCGCCATGGTGAGCACTTTGCCACCGTGCGTGGGTTCGTAAAGGTCCTTCTTGGTCTCTGGGTGGGGTATCCCCGCCGGGTCCCGGCCGACGATGTAGAAGTTGGCTCCTGCGATCATGCGGGCCCTGCAGTGCCACTGCACCTAAAGGAGGCGTTAATATTCAGTCATATTTACAGACTCGGAATGGGCGATATAGTTAGGAGCCAGGCGTTTGCTTCGGCTGGGAGTGGCTGATGCTTAGAAACCAGGAATGGGTGAATGGGGGAAAACAGCACTTTGGAGGTGGAGTTATTTTGTGATTAATTAGCATTTTAACAAGGCCAAAAGCTCCCAAAAGTTGATTTTGCATGATATGGCCCCTTTAAATGTTCAACAATTTCAAAATGTATCACTCGCGCTCCTTTGTCGAAACATACCTCCTCAGGTCACAAGTATCCAACATTGAGAAATCCCTGTTTTTGAAACAAACTATAAATAGGTACGGTCTTTAAAAAAAGTACAGCGCAACTGACTGCAAATTCCTTCCACTTTTCTTTTTTTGTTATGCGGAAAACACAGTGAAAATGATTCCACTCCTTCATTTCAGTTTCTGAACAGGAATGAAACTTGGAAGTCACTTTTTTGAAAAATAGTCACTAAAGGGCTTGGAAAAGTTGCTCTGGCAACATAATCACTAAATTGGCAATAGTTGCTGTCAGAATTGAATCTTTTTGGAATCGGGTTTTATTTCATGGAATTTTGCAGATGGATTTACACCCGCCAAACACAAGAGGGTGCTAACACACTGCGAAACGGTTACGAGTACTTGGATTAGAGCACACTGAAGATTTCATTTTCTGTGTGGATGCTGTGACATCGTGCCTGCGGACATTTGGTGCAAACATTTTGTGTCCACTTATTTTTGTGGTCATCTCATCCGAGTCAATCTCTTTTTCCAAGCCCTAGATTGTAATAGTGACTGCTTTTGTAAACCAGCAGCCATGTTGTTGGTGTAAGCAGTGAAAGTTAGCAGGAATGAACTTCAAGTTGTCCCACCCACCCCCCAAGTTCTCAAAATTTACACAAGTACCTGTACTTATACATAAGCACAGAGCGCGAGTACTCCGCAAGTTGACAATTCCTTGCCTCGGTAGGTCCGGCGTACATCATGGGCGAAGGGCAGATGGCCACAATGGTGCTGGCCGGGTCCAGGACGCCCTCCTCCAATACGGCGGCGTGCTGCTTCATGCGCCAGGGTAGGGGCACGTCGTCATCTTTGGTCCAGCCGCCGAGCGGGTGCAGCAGGAGGACCGGGTTTTTGTAGCCGCGCTCCAGCAGACGCCGCTTGGTGTCCTGCATCAGCAGAGCGTGGCCGTTGTGGACCGGGTTGCGCAGTTGGAATGCAAATACCGCATCTGAGGGAAGACAAAACACCACGAGGTTGGCGATTGAGGTTTAGGTTACGCCGTCAAGAGTGGAAAGCAGTTTGAGATCCTTGAATTCCATTTTAAGATCCATGTAGTATGTCAGACATTGTAGCACACGAGCAGAACGACGAGTGTGGACTAATATAATCACTTCTACTATTGCGTGACGTTTCTGTACACTCGTCGGACAATATTGGGATACTAGCACAACAACCTCATGCTACTAGTGGGCATTTTGTTGCCCCCAGGAGGCTACTAATGCGAGACATAAATCTACTCATAATTTTACTAGTGCAGCAGAGTAGTTTGCTCGTAAGGTTTAATGGCATACTAGTAAGTCAAAATTGATATTAGTAGTGGAAAAATTAAAACAGTGTCGCCTACATGGACCTTAAGATGCATATCAACGATATTGCATAAATGCTCAAACCACCTTCATCATGGTATGAAATTAGTGAATGGACCTTAAGATGGATTTCAAGGGGATTGAATCAATTCTGAAACAGCTAAAAGTCCTTCGTGTATTTATCCGATATCCTAACAGTGCACTGAGTTTTCTTACTAGTGAAGGGGAAAAACATTCTAGTACACGGGACCTTAAGCTGGTTATGAAGGATATTGAGCAGATGCTCAAATGGCTTTCCAACCTGTGCTCATGCGTGGATTTGACTTTTACCAATCATGCTTACACCGCAAACATCTTACGCAGTCCAAAGTGTGTGATGACTAGATAGCACAAACATCACCATGCTCTCACAATTTACCGATTTATATTCTCGCCTGCTCCTTGCTATGTTTCTTCTGAAAGAAAAAAAAAATGGCACATTCTAAAATGCCTCAGAGGTGACTTCTTCAGCGACAGCAAGATGCGTGTTTGTATTTTCGGACCTGCTTTCATGTCTTTGAACTTCTGCTTGAGCTCCCGCGGAGTAAAGCGGTACTGGTCCAGGCCGTCGTTCCATTTGATGGGTTCGAGCAGCTCCAGGTCACCACCGACCAGCCAGTCACCTCCCTCCATAACCATCTGCACGCAAGTTGGACATGTCATTTGGCTAGAAGTACCCCCCTAAGGCACTCCTCATCTTTACGTCCAGTTTTTGGACACAAACTTCTTTAAAATCAACACTCCGATAATGTACATTAATGGCTGTATGTACAACTAATGAAGCAGTCAAGAAAGGAAGGAGACGGTAACTGTCAATTTTGTTGATGAAGATTTGGCAAAAACGTGGAACAGTTAGAACGAGCTGAGAAATCAGGAAGGAGCAGGTAAATACAGGATGTAAAATGATTTTTTTTCATGGAAAATGTGGAATTGTGGGAAGGGAAGACACCTTGATATAAGGGTGTTGCGGACACGTGGTTCCCCACTGTCGGGCACAGCGTTCCTCCTTGCGATGTTCATAAAACTCCGGGTTCCGCAAAATGGCTACCCGGGAGCCACCGTATTCCAGTGCGACGGCCGCGCAGCCCTCCAGCTCCTGCTTGGTCTCGGTGCTGACTGGCAGGACGATGGGGACGGACATGTTGATGGCGCCGCCTGAGATGGAAGCAGACTAAGTGATGTCAGTCAATGAAGTAAAGTGCGAGGAAATGTAAGGCGTTTATGTTCCGAATTGAGGGAAGTGTGGAATGTTGATTGAGAATGCATTCGATTTCTTTGATAGCTAGTGTGTAGAAATGTGACAGGAGTGGAAAGAAGCAGTGGAGCAAAACACATTGAGTGTATTTGTACGTCGACCTGAAGCTGGATATCAAGGCTCTGGAATAAATACTTGGACTTTTTGCCACAGATAATGTCGCAGCAGGATACGAATAAAGATGACATGACAGGGGAGACTCTCACCGTCCAAGAGGCTACCAAAGTGCAAGACCTGAAGGAACTCTCGTTCTCTCATGAAACCTTTTAAAGGACTGGCCCAGCCCTCGGCCAAAACCTGCACCCACTGCAAGTCCAACTGTCATATGAAAAAACAACAAAAAAAAAAACATGATAAAGATGAAAAGAAACACAGGAGAAACCACACTCATCGTATTATTACATAATTGCCCCATCATCTGAATATCATCATTTTTGTAACTGACACAGTGGTGCTAAACATTGGAGCCAGATCATGTGAGAAAGTAGCTTCAAAGCAGCCCGGCGTCCACGTTTTATCCGCAGAGAGCCTTGACTGAGCGTGCGAAACTCCGTCAGAACGTGACTGTCTGGAAGGGAATGTACTGGCATCCAAATGTAGTGTAAACGTAGCCTTAGTTTGAATGTCACCGACATAACCGGCGGCGAATACTTCAGGGATTCTCAAAACATCTCCGCCATCTGCTGTGCGGCTTGATAAATGAGGCCAAAATGGGCAGCGGAGAGACGGGTTACCTTGGTGATGCTTATGGTAGGCAGCGTGCTCGCATTGGCCACGGCGTGATCCACAAAGTTTTCCGGTACAAATAATTCGTTGGCGTCCTCCATGATCTCACCCGGCACAATGTTCTACGTGAAAAGACAGGAATAAAGTGAGATATTGAATGGCATGGGGTGATCGTATTTGCTTTTCAAAAACATAATAGAGTAAACACTCGTTTTTTTGGGGAGGAAAAAAACACATCCATTCAGAGAGCTCTCTCTTTGGAGCCGAGTTCATCACCATGGCTACTTAGACTGCCGACAGAACCAGTCTCCTGGCCTTATTTTTTTAATGTAGCCTGAAATCCGCTTTGAGGTTGAACCGAAAATGCACTTTCACCTTTACAGGCGAGTTTAATTTGATCTTCTCGAACATGCGGCTGAGCGGCAAAAGTGTTAGATGCATGAATCGACTATAACATTTTCCTGCGTCAATTACAATTGCCATTTAAAGAGTCCTCTTCATCACCATGTCCACATTTTGAAGCTAAGCTGTCATCCGCAAGTTGCAACAGAGACAGAGCGACTGGAAGAGGTACTGAAAGGCATATAAGTGAACCTCCATGGAAACTTTGGCTTGAATTTTTCTGTTCAGCTCTTTCTTAGAGAAGATCGAACCAAATACCTATCAAGGTTATACTGTAGTGCAAGTTAGGGTCATGTCCAAAAGACAAACATCCTTAAAATTTTGTGAGTAAAATATTTTAGGACAATAAATGTACCATAATTTGTATTCTTTGGACACACCGTTATAAAAGATAACGTCAAAACACGATTCTTCAAATGACCAGCAGGTGTCTCTCTAACTGAATGTTTTTTCTTTTTTGCACCATGAAACAATTTAAGAAACTTATATAAATACTGTACTACTGTGTAAGGCAGTTTTTTTTTTAGCTTTTTTTGTTTTTATCTATTTCAATTAGAGCTTTTCATTAACTAAACACGTTGAGTAACGGTCTTTTAAATGGTAACGGCGACTTCACAAAATTCTGGCGTAAAAGTAAATCACAAGTCAGATACAACAATGACGCAAAAATTAGGGTTTGGCGTTATCTCTACAACTATTCTTGTTTCATGAAACTGATAAGCACTGCAAACATGTCGATTGCACCGAACCTATCCAGAAAATAAATTAAAAAAGAAATTATACATAATACTGGACATTAAAAAAAAAAAAAAAAAAGCATGCTGACCAGCCGAAATTAAGCAGAGGAGGTGGCAGGCTTTTCGGTTTGAAAATTGCTCTTTATGACATTGCAATGCCGATTTGAGTTTGATGAATTGCTGAGCCCTCCTACCAAGTCATGAGTTAAAATCCAGATGCCCCACTGCAGGTTACAAAGGCAACATTTGTTTTTCATGACTACAACTTCAACTTTCAAACCGAAACAAAAATCTCCACACAGATAAAATCACATGTGACCTGATGATTTACAGTGATGATGTATGCAGTAATTTCAGTTAGCCACAAAGCCACATCAGGTATGTGGCAACAACATCTTGGAAACGGTCCTGTGACGCATGCCGGCCGACGTATTCCTGGAGATTTATTTCGCAATGCACCCATGTGTCTGTCGCTTCGTCTTTCGCGATGTGTGCGTTTATCACAGTCAGGCCCAGGATATTTGCACACGCAGTTGTACACGACGCAAATTCAACCTTGTGCATATTTGTCAAACCGCCCTTCCCGTTGTCCCATTCCTAAGTCAAACAGGCGAAAACCGATCCGTCCTTGGAAACGTACCTGTGACAAACGACACAACGTGACGACTTGTCACACTCACCTGCTCACGGAGCATCTCCAGCACATGTTCCAGGCACTCGTTCACGGAGAGCTCTCCGGTTTTCAGCAGCAACTCCGGCGCCTCGGGGCGCTCGTAGTCTGAGTCGATTCCTGTAAAGCCTGCCAATGAAATAGCGGAAAACAAATGCTGTGACAACACTGGAGGCGCTCCATTATTCGCCTTGCATGATGATTGAGGAAGGAAAGGTGGGGACATGCGCGATGCAAGGAGTTAAACAGCGTGAAACGCAACCTTTAATCTCGCCAGCCCGAGCCTTCTTGTAGAGTCCTTTTACATCTCTGCTCTCGCACACCTCTAAGGGAGCGTGGATAAACACCTCAAAAAATGGTAGCCCGGCGCTCGCGTGGATTTTCCTGGCTTCGTTACGATCCTGTGGGGACAATAATAACGCGTATGCTCAGCAAAACGTTTACGTCCGCTTTACAGATACCACATCTGCTCCACACACAGCGGGCCTTGCAAAAGAGAAACGCGGTGGCATCGGATGTCGTGGTAAAGGTGATTTATTCAAGGCATAAGGGGAGGGCGTGTTAACAATGGGATCTAAAAAAGTCAACGATGAAAGGGCTTTAGATTTCAGTAATCAATGCAACAAATGACTGTTTTCAGTTCTTTGCGATGTGTAAAATGTTTTGAAACTGCGGGCGTAACATATATTTTATTGTTAAAAAATGCTATTAATATTTGGACGCTTTTTCAAACACATTCAAATTATATTCAAATACGGGAGTTTGAAAATTATTCTGACAGTCACTTCAATCGACTACTTAGTCAAATCAGAAAAACATAATTTGTGAAATAATTTGGGAATGCAATGTAGTTAAGGTGTGGTGGGTTTATTTAGTCAAGTGAGCCATACAGCAGGAAGAAAAAAGTATTCGTGGAAATGGTATTTGACGTCACTGAGAGTTGTTTGAAGCATTAAAACACTGAGCTGCAGAAACTACCAGACCTTTATTTGGACAAATTTGTTTTTGAAACAATGTTGATGAGTATTTATGTAATTTTGGAATTGGATTATGAACTGCACAAATAAATACATTGTATTTTTACAATCGCATCCTGTCTCGTTGACTTTGACACTTGTTGCAGACTTACGAGAAGTCATGCGTGCCGTGATCATGACGCCCTCTGAACCACTGGTGAAAGGAGACTTTGATTCGCTCTACTTCATCGAGAACCGCTTCAAACAACAAGGCGTACGTAGGAATAGTTGTTTCGATTGCATTCTTCTCCATGTTATGTGTTCTGTTGGATTATTGTTACCTTATGTTAAATGTTCTGTAAAGTGCTTTGTTACGGTGTTATTTTATTCAAGTTGACCTCACACACTGACCTTAGTAAAGGGGGAGATGAAACTGGTGATGCAAACAAGTCCGGCGTCCGCAAACAGTCGGGCCACCTCAGCGATGCGACGGATATTCTCCTCGCGGTCTGTGGCTGAGAAGCCCAAATTCTTGTTCAGGCCGTGACGAATGTTGTCGCCGTCCAGGGAGTAGCAAGGGATGGCATGGGATACCAGGAACTCTTCCAGGGCAAAACTGATGGTGGTTTTTCCAGCCCCAGACAAACCTGGTAGGAAGAGGAAGGAATGCCAAATAATAGTTCCAAGTCCTATGGTCTTGAATATTATATATGAGACTTATTCCTACACGCTCACATTTGGTTAAACCACAACTAGTACGCAGCTCATCTCTTGCCTGCATCTGGATTTTAGCCTGTTTTACTGCCGCTTCTCTTTTTCCTCTCCGTCTGCTCATCCGTTACGTAAGGGAAGTTAATCCCCAGTGAGACACTGGTTGTAACTGGCACATGACGCGGCTAGCCGTTCTGTTTTGCTAAATTATTCAAACAGAATACAACAAAACATTTTGCACATACATGAGGGAAAATGTCTTCCACAACCCCAATGATGGAGATTTGGCTCCCAGTAAAGTGCAACCTTTGTATCTGCCGGTGCTACCCCAAACACAACAAGCTATTTTCATCGTTTGTCATCATTAAAAAAATAAAAACGATATGAGGATAAGCCGTTCTGATAATGGATGATGTGATTTACCTGTGAGCCAAATGGTGCACCCTCGGAACCCTCCCCTGGTGCCCACAACCTGTCCCCTCTTGCTGCGACTGACATGGTGGGCCTGGTAGACCACATTGGTAGACCTGTTGAGGTTCTGTGACAGAGGACAAGAAAACAGAAGCGTCACCACGAGCTGTTCACTTCTCGTTCAAGACAAAATTGCGCAATTTGACCGAGGCATCTTATGTATCTTGATAATTTGCTAACATCTCACCTTCAGTTTCAAAAGCTCAGTTATTCAATGCGATGACATTGACACACAGGGAGACAATGTTGACAAAAAAAATGACTATGCAAACTATCGTGTCCTGCTCCACCTTCTTTACCTAGTCATAATTCTGTTGACAAAACATGTGGCTGGACATTGATTGATGAACATTTTTAGGTGTCTTTGGTTTGTCCAGTGTACACAGATGGGCAATGCATACAGTAGCAAAGCAGGCCATTCAAATACAGTACCACAGGGCAGATGTCATAAAATAAAACATGTCTGTGTAGCTTAACTTTACAACGCAAGTGGGGAAGCTTTTTTTTTTAAATTTAGAGTCCTCCAAAGCCCATTATAAAATGGTGAAATAAAACATGACACAACAATGCTGAGCATTTTGGGCTGACGGTTTTGATAAGCTCATCTGACGCTTTGTTTATTCTGAGTGAAGTGATGATTTGATTTCTCCCCAGGCACTCCTTAATGTTTGGAGCCGGTAGTAGTTGCTCGTGGCTGTTGCGTCATTTCATTTTTTTTTTTCCTCCCTCAAGGAAAGGATGTGACTCAAACATGTCATTCCCAAGGCATGATGGAAAACGTTTGCTCTTCTCTCATACTTGGAGAAAACAACCAATCAAAGTCTCGGACAGGAGTTCATTTGAACTCTGACTCAAGTAATATCTTCCCCTTTTGGATATCCAGTCACAAACTCATCATCGTCAAATTGATACTTTGCTTTGGCCTTCTCTCGACACTGATTGTGTGGATTGGGCCCCATCCCAATACTGCGTTGCGCTGCCTGTCCAATGTGGTTGTAAAATTCTAACCCTTTCTCCACTTTCCAGCTGCTTTGAAAAAGGCACCACTCTTGGGTCCCCCCCCCACCCCCACAGTTGAGATGACAGAGTGAGTCAAAGTAGTACGCTCAAGGTCCCAAGTGCCGACACGGACCAGGATGTTTTATGAAAGGGGCTGTATTGACTTGCTGAGGGGAGGTGGCGAGGGTGAGAGGCATGGAAGGAATGGCGGTGGTGGCGGAGGTGAGTAGCCCGACTGTACAATGTGTCCTGTGTGCTGCCTGTAAGGCCAGAGCGCGTGTTTGTATTTTCGGACCTGCTTTCATGTCTTTGAACTTCTGCTTGAGCTCCCGCGGAGTAAAGCGGTACTGGTCCAGGCCGTCGTTCCATTTGATGGGTTCGAGCAGCTCCAGGTCACCACCGACCAGCCAGTCACCTCCCTCCATAACCATCTGCACGCAAGTTGGACATGTCATTTGGCTAGAAGTACCCCCCTAAGGCACTCCTCATCTTTACGTCCAGTTTTTGGACACAAACTTCTTTAAAATCAACACTCCGATAATGTACATCAATGGCTGTATGTACAACTAATGAAGCAGTCAAGAAAGGAAGGAGACGGTAACTGTCAATTTTGTTGATGAAGATTTGGCAAAAACGTGGAACAGTTAGAATGAGTTAAGAAATCAAGAAGGAGGAGGTAAATACAGGATGTAAAATGATTTTTTTTTTCAAGGAAAATATGGAATTGTGGGAAGGGAAGACACCTTGATATAAGGGTGTTGCGGACACGTGGTTCCCCACTGTCGGGCACAGCGTTCCTCCTTGCGATGTTCATAAAACTCCGGGTTCCGCAAAATGGCTACCCGGGGGCCACCGTATTCCAGTGCGACGGCCGCGCAGCCCTCCAGCTCCTGCTTGGTCTCGGTGCTGACTGGCAGGACGATGGGGACGGACATGTTGATGGCGCCGCCTGAGATGGAAGCAGACTAAGTGATGTCAGTCAATGAAGTAAAGTGCGAGGAAATGTAAGGCGTTTATGTTCCGAATTGAGGGAAGTGTGGAATGTTGATTGAGAATGCATTCGATTTCTTTGATAGCTAGTGTGTAGAAATGTGACAGGAGTGGAAAGAAGCAGTGGAGCAAAACACATTGAGTGTATTTGTACGTCGACCTGAAGCTGGATATCAGCCAAACCCTGCACCCACTGCAAGTCCAACTGTCATACGAAAAAACAACAAAAAAAAAAAAACATGATAAAGATGAAAAGAAACACAGGAGAAACCACACTCATCGTATTATTACATAATTGCCCCATCATCTGAATATCATCATTTTTGTAACTGACACAGTGGTGCTAAACATTGGAGCCAGATCATGTGAGAAAGTAGCTTCAAAGCAGCCCGGCGTCCACGTTTTATCCGCAGAGAGCCTTGACTGAGCGTGCGAAACTCCGTCAGAACGTGACTGTCTGGAAGGGAATGTACTGGCATCCAAATGTAGTGTAAACGTAGCCTTAGTTTGAATGTCACCGACATAACCGGCGGCGAATACTTCAGGGATTCTCAAAACATCTCCGCCATCTGCTGTGCGGCTTGATAAATGAGGCCAAAATGGGCAGCGGAGAGACGGGTTACCTTGGTGATGCTTATGGTAGGCAGCGTGCTCGCATTGGCCACGGCGTGATCCACAAAGTTTTCCGGTACAAATAATTCGTTGGCGTCCTCCATGATCTCACCCGGCACAATGTTCTACGTGAAAAGACAGGAATAAAGTGAGATATTGAATGGCATGGGGTGATCGTATTTGCTTTTCAAAAACATAATAGAGTAAACACTCGTTTTTTTGGGGAGGAAAAAAACACATCCATTCAGAGAGCTCTCTCTTTGGAGCCGAGTTCATCACCATGGCTACTTAGACTGCCGACAGAACCAGTCTCCTGGCCTTATTTTTTTAATGTAGCCTGAAATCCGCTTTGAGGTTGAACCGAAAATGCACTTTCACCTTTACAGGCGAGTTTAATTTGATCTTCTCGAACATGCGGCTGAGCGGCAAAAGTGTTAGATGCATGAATCGACTATAACATTTTCCTGCGTCAATTACAATTGCCATTTAAAGAGTCCTCTTCATCACCATGTCCACATTTTGAAGCTAAGCTGTCATCCGCAAGTTGCAACAGAGACAGAGCGACTGGAAGAGGTACTGAAAGGCATATAAGTGAACCTCCATGGAAACTTTGGCTTGAATTTTTCTGTTCAGCTCTTTCTTAGAGAAGATCGAACCAAATACCTATCAAGGTTATACTGTAGTGCAAGTTAGGGTCATGTCCAAAAGACAAACATCCTTAAAATTTTGTGAGTAAAATATTTTAGGACAATAAATGTACCATAATTTGTATTCTTTGGACACACCGTTATAAAAGATAACGTCAAAACACGATACTTCAAATGACCAGCAGGTGTCTCTCTAACTGAATGTTTTTTCTTTTTTGCACCATGAAACAATTTAAGAAACTTATATAAATACTGTACTACTGTGTAAGGCAGTTTTTTTTTTAGCTTTTTTTGTTTTTATCTATTTCAATTAGAGCTTTTCATTAACTAAACACGTTGAGTAACGGTCTTTTAAATGGTAACGGCGACTTCACAAAATTCTGGCGTAAAAGTAAATCACAAGTCAGATACAACAATGACGCAAAAATTAGGGTTTGGCGTTATCTCTACAACTATTCTTGTTTCATGAAACTGATAAGCACTGCAAACATGTCGATTGCACCGAACCTATCCAGAAAATAAATTAAAAAAGAAATTATACATAATACTGGACATTAAAAAAAAAAAAAAAAAAGAATGCTGACCAGCGGAAATTACGCAGAGGAGGT